ATAGCATTTTTTTTTATCTAAAGATTTCATAGTTAATCATGGAAATAGATTTTAGAGCGGTCATATGGGCTTCCCATGAACGGATTGTTTTTTGGATGAAATTTAGCTGCAAAAAATTTCATTTTTTCCCTAAAGCACCTTATAGAAATCACATCTATACGAATGTATAGGATGAAGTTTCTATAAAAGCTAAGTTTTATAAAAAGAAAATAAAGCCTCACCTTAAATATTTGTTTAGAAAGTACGTTGGGCATAAAAAATCTTCATGAGGGCTCTAAACTAAACTTACTATACAACTAATACAATTTGAAACTCAAAAAATAATACAACTATCGCATATCAATATAAACTTATTTTTAAGATAAAATAGATAGCCTATATAATTTATTACAATATACCCTATTTATAAAGCTTAAAATATTAATGTTTTACTACCATCTTCAAATCCAAATGATTAACGTAAAAAATTTTGAACGCTCGAATTGATGAGTTGAATTGCAAATTTTGATGAGTTACGAGCTGTGGTCGTGCTTAATTTTTGATAGGGGTAGCAGACCTATCAAACCATTTTCCAAATTTATATTGCATGTTCAAGGAGGAGCCATCTGTTATTTAGTGTTTCTCACAGGGTATTTTCGGCAATTGAAGAAAACCCGAGTCTTGGAACGGGTACAAAAAAAAACAGCTCGGCTCCAGAGGACCGACATCTGCCGACTCCTCATATATCAATCTTCTCACTTTTCTTTTAATTTGGAATTTGATACAAACGAGGCCCAATGCCTCTTCATGTGACTCTCTCTCTCTCTCTACACAATGTATCTATCTACCCATTCTCTCTCTCTAGACCTCCCTAAGTTGTCTTTATCTCTCTAGGTGTCAACTGGTACTCTCTCTCTACTCTCTAGCGTGTGGTCTCTATGCACCCATCAGTCATATCTCCACTACCTCCTTTCTCTCTCTAACATTCTCTCCTCTTCTATCTCCCTACCGTGTGCACTGTTCATAGCTTAACGCACGCGCTCTTTACACACCATGTTCTGTGCTATTTTACCTATCCCTCATATGCTTTCTCTCCATCACATGTCAACAATCCCTCTCACTCTCTCTCTCTACTGCAACAGCACCCGTACATACACAGACAGCTTGGCTTGCCCAACAAGCAATCTCCCTTAAAACCCCAAATGCGCGAACACTTCAGAACTTCGAACGAAAGCTGTCTTCACATCTCTCTAACTTGTTTTCTATTCTATATTTCTTCTTGTTTGCTGTTTTTTCCTATTCCACTGGTCTGCATTCCTTCCTTAGGGTGTTGATAAATCTCTCTCTTCTGCATTTGTCTATTCCATTCTATTCTATGGGTATGGTGGATGAATGGTTCGGCGGGCGTTTGTATCGGAGAGTGAGAGCAGAGATAAGGAGGAAAATGAAAGGGAAGCCTAAGTTCACCTTCAAATATGACGCTCTCGGCTACTCCCTCAATTTCGACGATGGCTATCACTACCCCACCTAACACAATACGGCCTCGGCCTCTCTCCGCCTTCGCTTCCGATATTCTCTGTGAAAATCATCATCTCTCTTTGCTTTCTGCTTTCACTCTCAAAACGTTAGTGGAATACATACCTCTTCTCCCTCCCTCCCCTCCCTCTGAGACACGTCTGGTGTAGCTTCCAACTCCGTACATTAATTTTTGTTTTGCTGTAATAAGGCGTTTATATTTATTTACATGAAACGAATCTTCACATCTGGACTGGAAGGAGTACATCTCTCTCTCTCTCAGATGTTAAAGTTAAATTGCTAATGATTTAGAGCTTTGAAGTTTATTTCACATCGTACAAACTAAATGTGTTCCTAAAATGTAACTCATTTTTCTTCTTGATTTTTATGGGATATCGTTTAAAGCCAAATGTTGGCTCTCTCTCATTTCTTTTTGCATTTATATGAGAAAATGCAAAATGGGACTTTTATTTTTCTTCCGCGAGTCCATCTTAGTATTCGTTAAAAAAAAATGATCCGTGTCGCTCAAAAACTATGGAAAATGAGCCTCTTATCCCAAGAGCAATGGCTCGTCTTTCTTTCTCTGCTTTCTACTTTGTACCCTTTTGTCTTCTCCTCAAACTCCTCTCCCATGCTCTTCCCCTCAAATTGGTATCTATTTCTCTCCCACGCATCACATCCTCGGTTAAAGAGTGTCGTTTGGGTACGGAGGCATCCGTAGGCGTAGAGAGGTAAGGTGCACTTTCAAACTTTATTATGGTATATAATTTTGATGTAAATAGTTTTAAGTATTATACTAAAATACTATTTTATTATCTAATTATAAAATTTAGTAAATTTTAAAACCTAAGTAGAAATACAAGTATATATATATATATATATATATGTAAACATATTAAAATTTTGAAAATTGACTCCTTAGATAATATGTTGTAAAATGCACTATTTACGAGACTTAAAATGTATTTATTTTTCATGGTCTTATATTTCGATGTCGAGATCAATCAAACGGTTTTTCAACATTAAAACTATCTTTTTCGATGGATTTTTGAGGTGCATCCGTAGTTCCACGAATCCTTATATAAACATAAATCCTTATATAACTTAAATGACTCATAAATCGACTGGACTGCTTACGCTCGAAGATTTTGCATCCAACGGTTTGATTTCGTTAGTCCCGTCTACCAAATGCGTGACGCAGAGTTATAAGATATAGTTGGAGTTTGAGATTTCATTTTTTCTTGCTGAAGATGTGGTCATGTGTATTATACTTCCGCAGGAACATAGTGTATAGCGTTATATTTACTCTATCTGTTAGAAGGCTTATTTGGGAGGATTTTTTTTTATTTGAAATTATGGGAATTACCTAAAAATTACTAGATGATTATTCTCAAAAAAAAAAAAAGATTTTGAACTTTGAATTTTCAAACACGTAGACCTCACACTCTAAAAATTAGATAGCCTTTATTCGATCTTTAGACCTTATTTTTTCTAATACGTAGACAATGCAATTAGATACTTTTTATTATTGAGATTGATAGTCTTTATTCGATCTTTTTATTATTGAGATTGATAGTCTTTATTCGATCTTTAGACCTTATGTTTACTAATACGTAGAGGATGCAATTAGATACTTTCTATTATTGAGATTTATCTGAAGGTTGAAGAGGTTACACCCTCAAAATTGTGGTCCTAAAATCTAATCCTAGCTGGGTTTGCCGAGGATGTAAATGCACAATATACTCCCGAGGGAATATTACGTCTCTTGACCCTATAGGTCTGTATGTGTATTGAGATCAGACCCATTTGTGCGCCTTTTAATACCTCTTTTTCTAATGTGAAATTTGAGGGTAGCTTTTAATGCTATAAACCCGCAAATTTCTAATTCTTATTCCTTGCGACTTATACATTAAAACCATTTATTTTTTATATAAAATGGCCACTATTTTTTACTTTTGGATGCAAAGCAAACAACCGGGGGTTGTGTAGTTGACCAGGGTCAAATGTGAACTCTTTGTAACGCACTGAGCTATCAAAATTGAAATCTAACAATTGAGAGAGATTGTGACATTTGAATTTCTAAATTAAATGGTAGTATACAAATCTTTATACTTTTCATATGACACTTTTAATATATAATGTGGGGGCAGCATTTTGTAGCCTCGAGTTTCAGAGTGAATATACGGGGCTCGATAATAATAGATTTGAAAAATAAAAATGGATTTTAAATTTGAGAAAGGACTTTATCTTGTAACACTTTTCTTAGACCATCCAATTGAATTGATCACCGGGATGAGGGTGTTTGGTACTTTGAATTGAGACCATCTTGTGCTCCCAAGTTCATATTGAAATTTGATATGTTGGAAAGGTAGAGCTAATGTATAGTTAGACATGTGGTATATGTATAACCACAGTCCGTTCGAATGTGTTAGTGGGGTGGTGTTAGTGATGGAAATAAAAACCACAACGTGATGACTAGAGTAGAGGTGCTACCACCAAACCCCTGTCCCTTTTCCATACCCCAGTTACTTGCATCTACATTTTTGTACAACACTGTAAAGTAGAACCCCCGATCTTAGGGGACACAAAATGATCTTGCTTTTTTTGAAGTATGCACCCTTTGTTGAATTTACATAAACTTTCTCACAAAAAATCTGAAATCCTTACGTTGCTTTAATATTTTTACTTGAACTCATGACAATTTACTATAAAATTAAATGATATATTTATTGATAATTTAGTTTTGGGATACAATCGATCGAATTATTCAGTCTGCCAACCTTGCATGCACGTAACATTGTCTCTCCAAAACTAAGTTTTAAACAACACGAGCTGACCTGGGTGGGGATTGGTAACCTCCCTCTAGGATCCCCCAAATATATTTCGTATTATTTTTTACCAAAATTTCACTAGTTTGGCGAATTTGGATTTCTAGTCCACCCAATCCTTGGGTGCTAAGACCTAATTTTTGTTGTTCCCCAATCGTTGCTTTCAAAACACTTTCGAAAGCAGTATTTAAAAAAAAAGCCAATCTAGATCATAATGGTTTGATATAGGTTTGGAACTCATGGGATTCGAGTCGGTTATCAATCGAAAGTCGAAACCGCATTGGGTATGTTCCCCTAGAATTGTCCAGTCCCTTGAGGGAATCGGATCGATACTTCCATCGATTTATATACGGAAAAAGTTTATTTAAGGATGCTACCTTATAATGTAGAATTACGGATGCCCTTAAAAATCTTTCGGAAAAGGTAGTTTTAATGTTGAAAAACCCTTTGATTTATCATCTTGACATCGAGATGGATGACTATAAAAAATAAAAAGACTTTAAGTCTCATAAATAATAATTTTGACAACATATTATCTACACTATAAAATTTCAAGATTTTCATATGTTTATAGATCTATTTGATTTTAACCATTTTTTAAATTTAAAATTTTATAATTAGATATAAAAAGAGATTTTGCGATAATTTTAAGAACATTTTGCATCAAAATTATATACCATGATAAAATTTGAAAGTGTACCTTACCTCTACATCTACGGATGGATCTATGTCTGAAAATAATGGTCCTAAAGTTATCTAGCAAAAGGAAGTTGTCTGTCTCTTAAGTTTCTCATGGAAAAGTAGGGGCCGTAATGGACCCAAATCCGATCTGGGCATGGGTCCAAGAATTGGACCCCGTGGGTTAGTTCCAAGTTCAAATATTGGACCGAAATACTATTCGGGTCAAGTAGGATCCGATCCAAGTATGGCCGGTCGAACTTGACCCGATCCGTTGATTTAACCGCCAGGGAAAAGATAAGTTGGCACGACGGGAAACGCAAACCTACGACAAGGCGCGCGAAGAAAAGCGAGGGCTGCCGGGGTATTTTGAGAAAGGGAACAGAGAAATCAGAACTGTCAAGAGCGATTGAATCGACGGTTTAAAAGGCAGGACCCCGCCAAAATTCAAAAGGCGGGAAGGCAGGCGGAACTGAAAAAGCCAAGAAAAAGGAAATAGAAAACACATTTTCACGTCCTTTCCCTCCAAAATCGACACACGATTCAAGGACTTCTCTTTCTCTCTCTTAAAATTTTCGCTATTTGGATTCAGTCTCTATTTCCCCATTATTCCAATTTTTCCTGATTCTACATTCTCTCTCCACAATTTTTCCTTATTCCACATTCTCTCTCTAAAATTGTTCCATATTCTACTACATAAAATTGCTCCTTGATTTACATTCTCTCTCTAAAATTCTTCCACAATTTCCCTATATTATCTCTCTAAAATCGTTCGTTATTGTACACTCTCTCCACAGTGCTCCTCAGTTTCTCTCTCTCTAGAACGTGGCGGGAACGCAAAAGGCACAAAAAACTCAAAATCGACATTTTCACGTCCTTTGCCTCCAAACCGAAAACCCAAATCGAGGCGCCCTTTCTCCCTGTTAATACCCCCTTCATCGCTTAGAAGCTCTCTGTCTCTAAAATCATTCCCTCTCTTACCATCTGTCTCTCTCACTAGTGTCCTCACCATTTCTCTACAATCCTTCCCTTTTCTACTCTCTCTCTCTCTAGAATGGCAGGAGCATCTGCAAAACCAAACCCAAAGACTCGAAAGAGGGTCGATGCGGATACTGGTTCTCTTAAGCGAGCAAGAGATGGAAGCGCCTTCATGAAATGGTGAGTTTCCCATCTCCTTGAAATCCAAAACAGAGTGCATCCCCTGTCTCTCCTGTCTGGTTTTTCCCCAATTTCCCCATTCAGAGAGGAATCATGAGCTTCTTTTTTTATTTTTTTTGCATTTACTCATGCTTTCTATCGGAGAAGAATAATTTATTTTTTATTTGATTGATGGTTTTACAGTGAGGCATGCAAAAAAGATGTTGCTGTTGCTCTTGTTGACATGCACAGCTGTAGCTTGGATGCAAAGATCAAAATGACATTTGGTAAAACTTAATCTCACCTTATTGTTTTGCTTTTCGTTTTCTTTTTCTATGAACAAATTTTACTGATAGTTTTGTTTCGTTGTTCATAATTGAATTTCTCTGAAATCTTTATAAGTTGTTTAGTCAAATTGAACTCGGTACCAAGTATGAGCACAAATTTTCACTTACTTTATGTGAATTCCTTTATAGTTTTATTAATTGAAATAGCCCATATTTTTTATTATTTATGTGAATTCCTTTATAGTTTTATTAATTGAAATAGCCCATATTTTTTATTTTTCCTTTATCAATATAAAATTGTCCGAGTTATTTCATAATCTGGTAAATCAAATAGTCCTTGCACTCATTCTTGTTTCTCTGTGATCTGGTAAATAAAAAAGCTCCCATAGTTTTGTTTGTTTATCTATGAATAAGTTATTTTGCATCAATCACATTAGTGGGCTGAATTTATATCAATTCTTTGTTCATATATGTGTTTCTTATTTATCAACGATGCCAGGTTCTTTTATATTTATGTATATTTCTTCATTAATAAGACTTAAATCCTAATATGTTTTATTGTTATATCTATTTGATTTTGATTTGTACCTATTAAATTACTGCAATATGTTGTCTTGTATATATCATTCTTTATTTGTGTTTATTAAATTTTTACAGAGTCTCAGATTGAAGAGAGAGTGACTGAGATAAAAAAACCAGTAGAAAAATCGAAGTCTAGTGGGTGAGCTTTCCATCCTTTTTTTTTTTCTGTTTTGTATTCTCTTTTATTTTTGTGGTTGTTTTCACTGTAAGTGGTTGTAAAAATTGTTCTTTTAGGAGTAAGAAAACATCTAAAGTTACAACTGAGAGGGCGAAGACTGGTACGAAAGGGAAGAAAGAGAGAGATCCTAACATGCCAAAGCGCCCTCCTACTGCTTTCTTTGTTTTCATGTATGTCACTCTCTATGCGCACTTCTCTCCATGTACCTCTCTCTCTCTCTCTCTATCTCTATCTATCTATTTATCTTTTTATATATCTCTCTGAATATCTTTATACATCTTTGTCTGTATCTTTCTTTATCTCTGTGTCGCTCCGTCTCATTGTCATGTTTTGCAGGGACGAGTTTAGGAAGACTTTCAAAGAGGAAAACCCTGAAGAAGCTAAGAGTGTCTCAAAGGTACCCCTCTCTCTCTCTCTCTTGTTTCTCGTCTGTAAAAATCATCGGAACAATCCTTCTCATTTTTATGCTGCGTTTGAAGGTTGCAAAGGAAGGGGGTGAGAAATGGAAGTCGTTATCAGATGAGGTAATTCTTTCTTATGCAATCACCCCTCTCTCTCTTTATTTGCATACCTCTCTCTCTTTACTCTGAAATTCTCTCTCTCTCTCTCTTAATTTATCAGTTCCTCTAAAGTGTCTCTCTCCCAGTCTAAGCTTCCCAACTCTCTTTACATATGTTTCTCTATAAACTCCTCTTTTTAAAATTGACTCTTTGAAATTATCTGAATAAACTTCTTTTTCTCTTTAAAATCATCCCAATTCTCTCCCTTGAGGTAAGTTTTGGACTAGTAGATTGTACATTATGTTTCAAAAGTTTAATTATATTATTACTTCGTAGTTAAGTCCTCCAATGTCTTCTTTTTTTAGTCTTAAAAAGGCTCGAGTACCTTGGCCGATTCAATTTTTTGAGCCGTGCTTTACACTTTTTTTTTTTTTAATCTCTTACTCATTCCAATCTTTGCTTCTCAAAGTATTTCTGACTCTATACTTCTCTCCTTGTAAGTTGCCTCTCTCTAATGTTCTCTCTTTCTCGTTCAATTTATGTTTGGGATACTAGGAAAAGAAGCCATATCTTGAAAAAGCAGCAGAATTAAAAGCAGAATACGAGAAAGCAATGGAGAAATTCAATGATTCCTCCAAAGAAGTGAGTTTCCCATTCCATTTTTATCTTATTTTTGATAATCCCCCATTAATTCTTATATATTTTATTCAATTTCTAAAATTGACTTATCACGAATCAGTTATATTTTTTTTTTTGCCCTTATCCAATTTATCACCAAATTAATTTTGTTTCACCTTATTTTCCCTTTTGTTAGGCCAATGAAGAAGAGGAGGGTTCTGTCAATGAAGAAGAGTGAGAAGCTGCCATATTTGGAGGTTTAATTGCCAAGGCTTAATGGCCTTTGTTGAGCTGCACTTTTAATGGGGTTGGTTTTCCCCCACCTTAATAGCCGTGCCATAGAAAAAGAATGCAGCAAATTTTGTAAATGGGAGAAAGAATTTGATCGGGTTTAATTGTATTTCCTTCACTAAAACTAGAATGGCATCTATATATGTCTCTATTCTCTTTATTCAAGCTCTGAAAGTAATATTCTTTCTACATCCGATTGTTCTCTTATTATGAAATCTATGTTTTTTTTAGTACAAAGAGGTCACAATTATTTTAGCTATTAGATGTTAAATTTGATAGCTCAAATTGTCTTATAGTTTATGAGATTTTATTATTTTGGACCTTATTCTTGTCAATGACATTCCCATCCAGTTGATTTCACATTTGATAGCCAATAATGATTGTGACTTTTTTATACATTGCTTAATGCTCTAATAATCAATGACATTCCCATCCAGTTGATTTCACATTTAATTGCCAATAATGGTTGTGACTTCTTTATACATTGCTTAATGCTCTAATAATTTTTTTTGATTGAGATCACCACAATCCCTATTGATTTTACTTTTGTCAAGTGTATTGTTACATCTTTGTACTAAAAATGGTTTTATGGTTCAATAGAAGTTATATGTGAGTAAAGGGGACTCATTGCTTCCCCTGACTATTTGTACAAGATGAATGTTAAGAAGAGGCATCTTAACAAAGGTAAAATAAAAATTACATATTATTTGAATTTTTAATTTCTTTTTAATTGTTATGCCGATCTAAATTTTTTTAATCTAAAAATATATTTTTAAGACGTATTTTTGGGTACGAACAAGCACATATGTAGACTCATCTGATGATTTGATCTCAAAGTACCTATAAAGCAACATATGTACTAATTTGATAAATTTATTTTATTGTGCGTTAAAAGTTTTTTACCATATTTTACCCACCGTATTTTCAATCGCGTTTCCCGACCACTTTCCGCCAAATTTGACGCAATTGGGTTTAAATTTAGGTCAGAGATGTGATCCATTTTTACAATATCTTTCTGAGTATCTTATTTTGCTTCACTAACCTCCGATTAGTAATTTAATATCAGTATTCTTTCTCTCTCTCCTGTTGCTATTGGAATGATGGGTGTTGCTCTTTTTGAGTTTGCGGCTCCTAAATTTGATGCTTAGGGATTTGCCTGATCTTGAAAAGAAAAAAAGTATGATTTGCCTGATCTTGAAGAGAAAAAAAGTATGCTCGACTTTGGTGAATTCCTTTCATGGCCGTACTCTCTCTTAAACCTCCATCCAATTTATATTCACCATTAGATGTATAAAAAAGATTTTTGCATCTGATTGCTTGTGGTCTTATAAAAAAGATTTGCATCTGATTGCTTGTGGTCTAATTTTGCTTTTAATGCTTAAATTGTTTGAGAAAATGGTAATTTGGATCGACAATTGTCAATTTCTATTAGAAATTGTTTGGAACAAATCCGGTTTTGTGATGGTATCAGAAATTTGTCCGTTTAACATTTGCTTAGAAATTGTTTGGAACAAATCCGGTTTTGTGATGGTATCAATAATTTGTCCGTTTAACATTTGCTTAGAAATTGATTGGAGCAAATCTGGTTTTGTTATGGTATCAGGAATTTGTCCGTTTAACATTTGCTTTTTTTTGGATGGTAAATCGAAGGGTTGGAAGTGTGTACAAGCTCATATTTAACATGTGCTTTTTTTTTCGATGGTAAATCGAAGGGTTGGAAGTGTGTACAAGCTCATATTTTGAAAGAAAATTTTTTGATCTTTATGAAACACTCTCGGAACAGTTAATGGCTGGAAGTGATTGTTATGTTCTTGTAGCAAAAAATCAATGATTTTATAGCATCCAATCCAAAATTTATGGTTTCACATTTTGGTTATAAAATGACATTTTCATACTAATCATAAATTCCCTTGTATAAGTCTGTCTTTTCCTTTATTTGATAAAAAGGCAAATATGATGCTAGATGTAGCATATAGACAATGAATCCTTTGTAGCCTCAACCATTGAAATGGACGGTTGTGATGATCCATGTGAAAACTAGGCAGCTGAGAGAAAGTGTCCATCGCTACCATTCATTGTCGCCGATGGATGTTTGGGGCTACATGCAACATGCTGTGTATATGCTTCATATAATGGTACAACATGCTGTGCATATGCTTCATATAATGGTACATTGACGTAATATGGTATATTTTGAATTCGAGGGATTCAGATGGGGAAATAGGTGCCCATTTGAGATTCTGAGAGTGTAATGGTACATTCACGTAACATGGTATATTTTGAATTCGGGGGATTCAGATGGGGAAATAGGCCCATTTTGAGATTCTGAGAGTGTTCGATCTTTTCTCTTTGATGCACTTGATCCGGAATTGGGTTCTTAACGTTTATGCACGAAGTACCGCTTTCTTCTTATTCAAGTGCTGAAGGTGGAATCAAATAGTGAGCTATTCTCAACATTCAAAAAAAAGAGAAGGGATTGCACTTTTCTCACAATCAAATGTACCACCAAGTCTAGAAAAGACTTGGGATCGGTAGTAGTACCCCACACTCTAATCATCACGCTGCGGTAATTCCTGAACCATTTGAAAATTCAAAAAGGGCATGTCTACCCTACTGAACGATATAAATAAATAAATAAATAAACAACAACCAGCTCCATGAAATGTATAGGGAATACACTGTTGGCATTATAAATGAGAGAGAGAGCGTGAAATTGCAAGTGAAATACAAAGAATTACCATGTATAATGTGTTGCCCACAAGAAACAATAATAAGTGACTTTCTAACTTTTTGAGGCACATGACAAAGAAGAATCACATCACTACAGTAAAAAGGCCTCAATTCAAATGGGTCATTAAGGTGAGAGGAGGGAAAAAGATGAACGAATCATTCACTAATTAAAAAAAAAAAAAATCTAATCTTAAATTTAATACCCCCCGCATGGACCCCACAACTCCACGGGATGCTGAGTCAGCATCAACAAGGGAGCAGAGGCCTTCCACAGAGGCACTTATTGTGAGCATATGCAACTGGTGGGAATATATTGAAGGGCTTTCCTTGTGGTATAGCTCCACATAGGTCATTTACTCTAAAGCTGACGTGGCGAAGGGATTTTAGTCCTAATAAGCTTTGTGGTATCCCTCCACTAAACCCATTATAGGACAAATCAAGCCACATTAGCCTCTCTAATTGCCCCAAACTTGGAGGGATTGAGCCCTTGAGCACATTTCTTGAGACGTCAAGCCTCACCAAACCCATGAGTTCCGAGATCGAATCTGGTAATCCTCCGACAATCCGGTTCCGAGAGAGGTCGAGCCACTTTAGGCGGGAGCGGGAGCCGCCGGAGCCGGAACCGAATTTGGGAAGTGCACCTGTGATTTGATTGTTGGATAGAGTGAGCATCTCCAAGGAGCTCCCATAGTGGCTCTCCAAGAACAGTGTGATCGATCCATACATCCTATTCGAGCTGAGGTCAAGGGCAGAGAGGTCATTTGGCAGGGCAATGGAGGACACATCTGAGCTCAACATGTTGTTGGACAATTTTGCCCTCTGCAGGCCTGTCATGTTCTTGAAGAAGAGGCCCGTGTCCCCTGTGAGAAAATTGCTTGACAGGTCGAGGGTATTTAGGGAATTTGGGCTGGTGAATCTTGGCAAAGTGCCCCTTATTCCACAACCAGCTAAGTGGACATTTGTGAGTTTCCTCATTGTGACCCAATTGGGTATGGATCCTAAACGGAGGTTGTTGTAGGACAAATCCACAGAGAGAAGGGAAGGGAGTCCCTTTGCTAGGTCAGTCGGTAGGGGGTCAGTGAACCCATTTCTGGAGAGATTAAGGTACCATAGTCCTTGCATTTTGGCAATTGATTGGGGTATAGGACCGGTGAGAAGGTTGTGGGCTAGAGAGAGAGAGCTGAGAAGTCTTAGATTGCCAAGAAAAACAGGGAGCTCCCCTTTTAGCTGATTATGCTCAAGGTTGAGATCAAGCAGGTTAGTCAGGCTAGAGAGAGTAACTGGTATGGTTCCACTGAACTGGTTATGAGAGAGGTCCACATAGGTCAGGTTCTTGAACTCCCCAACAAAAGAAGGGATGGACCCTGAGAGAAGGTTGTTGTTTAGGTCAAGGTATTGCAGCCCACGAAGGGTTTTCAAGGTGGGGGGGATTGGACCGGTGAGAAAGTTCTTCCCCAAGTTTATCTGTTGAAGAGAGAGAGAGTACCCTAGAGATAAGGGCACCTGCCCCACCAACCTATTGTTAGAGAAAGAAAGTGCCCTAAGGAAGGGCAGGTTACCTAAACTTGGGATGGTGCCCTCTAGCTTGTTGTCCTCTAAGTAAAGCTGGGTAAGCTTTTTCAAATTTGACAAGCTTTGAGGAATGGTACCCCTTATTTCTTTGAGACCACTAATGACTAAAACCTGAAGAAATTGAAGAGAACCCAATTGAGGAGAGAGAGTACCCTTCATATATTGAGAGCTATCCCCATTTTGGTGGCTTAGTAACTGGATGCCTATAACTCTTCCACTTCTTGGGTCACACTCTATGCCTTCCCAAGCTCCACAGCAATCAGTGCCAACCCAAGAGGAAAGGATAGTTGTTGTGTCCACCAAAATGTGGGATTTGAAGTGGAGGAGTGCAGCTCTATCTGAAGGGGAGCAATTTGGGGGGGGGGGGTTCTGGCTCTGCATGAGTCACAAGTGTTAGAGAGAAAAAGGCCCAAATGGTCAGGACCACTGTGCCTTTGAAGGGCACCCTCTGCATTTTCAGAGGTGGGGGTTTCCTTTCTGGCTCAACAGAGAAGGTGGGGAGGTTACATGTGCTCTCTCTCTCTAGAAATGGTGGAAAGTTCATTTGCTTTCTCTCTCTCTAGAGATTGTGGGGAGGTTGGTTTGTCTCTCACTCTCTATAAAGATGATGGGGGAGTTGCTTTTCTCTCTCTCTCTCTCTCTCTCAACAGATATGTTGAGGAGACATTCTCTCCCTCTCTGAACAGAAGAAGGTGAGGAGATATATATAGTCCCTCTCTCTCTTTCTCTCTCCTCCCTTGTTTTTCCTATGGCCCCGCTTTCTTCACTTAGGGTGGAAGGAACAATGATCACGGGGGGAAAAGTGGGGGAATGATGAAAATGGTTTAGACGTTAGAAATATGGGAGTGGGGACTCAGGGTTTTATGCAAGTGGGTTTCCGGGATCAATTAAATGTTTGTTATTTTAAACTTTTAAATTTTTTTTCCTCATTTATTTTGGATCAATTAAATGTTTGTTATTTTAAACTTTGTAATTTCTTTTCCTCATTTATTTTTGGTTTTCATTGTATAAATTTTGGAGGATGGCTAAAAGCATTCTCTTAAAAAAACAGATATGTGACCCAAATCGGGCACACCAAAAACCGGTATAGATCGTCGTTTTATTGTGAGGAAAAAAATAATGAACTGGAAAAAAAACACATAAAAAAATAATGAATCGGCAAAAATTGGTTTGGATCGGTGAACCGACAGCCCCGATCGCCGTTTTACTATAGAGAATTGCCATTTTATTGGTGGAACCGCTGGTTTATTTTTAGATTTGTTCATTTTCCTATATTTTATTTTTGAAATGAAGCAATCATTTTTCTATATATACATAGAACCAAAACATTGTGACCGATTTTTAGATCGAACCGGACGATTCCATCACAACCGGACGTTTTTTAAATCATTGGCTAAAAGAAATGAGATTATAACCGTTTGGTAGATGATGGATAGGTGGAAAAGGAAATCGTGAATTTTGATATGTTTATCAAGAGAAATTTGATCTCTTTTCCATGTACTTTCTCACTCTACTCCTTTTTAAATTTTCTCTTACATGGGCAAATGAGCTTTCGACCGTTGATGACTCACGGGACGTTTTGAACGTTGGAGCGGTTTTGGTACTTACTACTAAGAGCTGAGAAAATAAATACACATATAATGATATGTAAAATAAATGCACAAATATATAGCCAAACAAACATATATAAAATTATTATTTATATGGTCATGGTGATTAAGATATTTAAATTTTGATTATTTCTTTTTTGAGTTTTAAATTGTAATTACATGTCATCATCAAGGCCTTATCACAACAATTTAGGGTGTGTTATTTTAAAAGGTGCAATTTGTATAATGTCATCATCAAGGCCTTATCACAACAATTTAGGGTGTGTTATTTTAAAAGGTGCAATTTGTATAAAGCTGTAGCTCTAAACAATCAAAGTAAAGCGGATCTTCAAATAGTATCGAAAAATATGATTTTTGAGGTGAGTTCAGCCTCGGCTCTATATAAACTTTTTCTTATTTATTATTGCAATTAGTTTCAAACATGTCATGAATATTGTTTCCTATGGTTCTGGTGAAATGGTCTCTAATAGATATCAACCATTCTTCAACAAATGAGAATGGAGTTGGAGTCGTGGTGGTAATACCACTTGTGTCCCAGCTAAAATCTAAGCTTCCATTCTTACTTATCGCATTAAAAACAACTAAAGATATAAAAACCGAGTAAGGGCTCATCATCCCCACTGAATTACCCAAAAAACCCATTCTTCAACAAATCCCAAAACCTTAGAATTGCCTATTGATGTTTCAAAATCATGTCGGTCAGTATCTCCAAGTTTTTTTAGGTTTTTTCTTTAAAAGTACTTAGATATAACAAGTTGGACAAGGGGAACCGGAATCAAACCCCGGGAGTTGGCCCGATCCCGTCTTTTAAAACACTTGAAATGCAATTATTTTCGATTTAAACTGTGTTTATTATCTTTCTCATCCTTCTAATTAGTTTTATTACATTAAGCCAGTAATTTAGAAAATGCTGGGCGGGCAATGTGGTTCTTGGTCTACTAGGAATCGCGCAACTGCATGGGTTTTCATCTTGTTATTATCGATTTTTTCCATTCCATTCTTTTCTGCACAAATCAACCCAGCAGGTGACCAACAAATTGAACCACCCGATCCATTTTTGTTAACATTGATGAATACACAAATTTCCCTACCAATAGATGCGTGTTGGATTATTGGATCGTTGATCCAAATCGAATTGAATCATTACTCTAAAAAATAAAAAAAATAAAAACTAAAATAAAGGTTTATGGGATGGGGATTAAAGGCACTATAGAAAATAATATATATATATATATATGATACTCATACATATAAGTGTTTATTCAATGTATTTAATTTTTTTGGACATTCATATATCCTTGTTGTTTAAGATATATTTTTTAAATAATAAAGGTGCTTTTCGTAATGAAGAAAGATAGCATAGATCTTGGTATAAGAAAGTAATGACATTTATTAGTGGTTAATAACCAATCATTCATTTATGCGAGTGATGTCATGAAAATATCATTTTCCACTATAGATAATAAATGTTTTATTTCTTTTTATATATAAAAGTGAAAATCGGGCTGATACCCATAGCACCTTAAAGCCGATTTGGTTTCGACTCCCGATAGATTCCCATCTAAAGCAACCATCCATAGGTTTCCCACATTCTCCACCTAGTATCATGGTTTTGGTGTAAATACTTAAGGTTTTTCATTTTCGGGAATTGATGGTTTTGGTTTTTTTTTTTTTTGTACAAATGGTGGTTTTGGTGTTTTCTTTCCCATTTCCACGCACAGGTTGATGATCCTCCTAACCTTTGGTTCATTCTCTCTCTCTCATTCATGTTGTTAGCCCTCTTTTCTATGCCATTTGAAACTATTTCTCTTCCTTATTGTAGGGGGCAGTTGAGTTTCCACTCAAAACGAGTTTGGTGCGGTGAACCGATATGATGGTTTTGTTTGCTTCTTCTTCTTCTTTTCCTCATATTGGCTTTTGCGTGACTGGCGCGACACAATCACTCTCTCCATCACTCATCAATGTTTTTGTCTCACTTCCTTCTTTGAGTCAAATTTTTATTTGATGCTCTGAGCAATCAAATGAAGGCACACCACAAAAATTCACTAAGAGGTTGTTTCTATGCCCAATAGTTCTCAAATTGATGACCTTAAGATGTATGAATATAAGAAAAAAATAAATTTGAAGTCTTGAAAATAGTGTATCTTGCAATGTATTCTCTGAACCGTCACTCTTCAAGTTTTTCAAATGTTCCTAGGTCTGCTCGATCTACAGTATATTTGAAAATTTAAACTTCATAATTAGATATGAAGATAATTTTTCACACCATCACAAAGATTTTCAATACCAAAACAACATTTTTTGACATTATTTAAAGGTGCGCCTACTTTGATTGTTTAGGGCTTGAGCCTTATATAAACCACAACTTTCTTATTTTAGGTGAGCTTTGTATACGGTGACTATTTTATATACAAAGTGCATGGTGAGGCTTCAAAGTCTATGTTCAACCCAAATTATAAAATCTAAAATTCTAAAAATAGCACAAATCAAGCTCTCTATAAATACTTGAAAATAGATTGTGAACCAGTTCTATGATGTACTATTTTTAGGACTTCAATTTATTTTTTTTCGTTTATATTTATATATCTAAGGTTGAGATGATCAGAAGGTTTTCCAACTTCTGAACACTCTTTTCTACTGGATTTTTGAGTTGCACATTACTATTGTAGTATAAGCTTGCAACCTTATACAAACATTTTCCTTATTCTAATGCATGTTATAATCAATCTTTCCCTTTTTCTAATGGATGTTATATTCTTCTTTTTCAACAATCTTATGTTATACTAGCCATTCAAAAATTGCTTATCATCAGGATTGGATGAGATTCGGAGGCCATGGTTTCGGGTTCTCCCAAAGCAAGGAATAAGTATAGTTTAATATGTTTTTATTTTTCTTCTCATCCTATCTTTTTCTTCCTGGGCCGTTCAAAAAGCTTGGAATCGGCACGCATTATTCCGGATCACATGGAATCAACATAAGGGTAAACCTTTTATGCTTGCCCTACATTTTGAATGGAGGGCTAAGATTGCTCCAATCACAATGTTACATCTCTATACAATTTAATTTTTAATTTTTTTTTTATAAACTATTTTGCTATCAAATTTTGGACGGCCAATCCTCTATTAAACTCGTACTAGCAAAAAATATAAAAAAATATTTCCAATAAAATAAAATGATCAAAATACCCCTGAAATTTTCAAGGGGTATTTTGATCATTATATTCATCAAAAATTTATTTTTAATATTTTTTATAGGTGTGCCCCAATGAGAAGATGGCACATACCAAATTTCATATTCATACAATTTGTATAAAAAAAAACTAAATATAAAACGCTATGAGACGTTGGATCTAAGATCAACGGTGCGTGGCTCTCTTCATCAAAATTGGACGGCTGAATGGTAAGGGAAGCATAGATCTTCTATGTTATAGGGGAAGTATAGAAACCTTTCCCTCAATATAAACCTCGATCCATTATTCCAGTGGGTTGGTCATTCCCTGAGCACCAACAGTTCAAGTTGAATATCGATAGAGTTTCTTTGCAGAACCTAGGTTTAGTAGGCGGCGGTGGTGTAATCAGAGACAACAATTGTGCTTTTGTTGCTGCATTTGCAAAGCCGTTCGGCATTACCTCTAACAATTACGCACGCAAAGTTATTTTGCTCTTGAAGAGGTTCTTAACCTGGCTACCCAAAGGGATAGCTTTCCTTTCCAAATAGAAAGAGATTCATCATTATTTGTGAATGTCATTCATGATGCCCCATGGAGATTGCATACGATTGTGGCCAACTGTTGGAGCAGACTATCCACTTGTACGCGGACAATTTTCCATATTTTTCATGAGGCCAACATGGTAGCCGATGTCTTTGCTAAGAAAGCTTCTTCCAATTCTTGAGTAACTATTTGACGCTCTCGACAACCAAAATTCCACTTGTACGCGGACAATTTCCCATATTTTTCATGAGGCCAACATG